AACTCATCCGGTTTCTGAGGACATCTGTGTATTTGAAAGGCAGTCCCTGGGACTCTTTCCCTTGTTCATGCAGAACTCAGTGAACATGCTACTACACTTTTTAGCAGTTTGGGCTCTACACTCAGGCTTAGGTACTGTACTAGAAAGATAAGTTTTTGGATGCCAATAGTTTCATGCTGTGTAATAATTTTTAAAATTAAGCAAATTTTGAAGGGTTTACTGGGTTTAATGGCAATGTACAGGGCGATTTAACATATTTTATTATATTTACTATCACAATCACCTGCAAATAAATGTAATCTGCATACAGTACTTTGACAGTGCTTTTTCTAAATTGCAAAAATTAAGAAGAAATAATACACTGAGTTAGAAAAATGGTGGAATGCTTTTGAACCCAGGTTCTCTTAACAACAAAAATTGTGTTTTGAATTCTCATAACATTTTTAATAGGAATCTTTTCTTTTTACTTTGTATCCAGGTGGGCATGTTAACCTCACTGAAAACTACGATTTAGTTTCTTTGTTGAATTATTCTGTCTCTCTTTCAAATATGAGTACTCATAGAATCACACTTTTCAATTCCTTGATAATGTCTTTTATTTCCCAAATCACTATTTAGAAAACTTTAGAGCAATTCTAGATTCACTGACCTTCTGTTGTTGCAATGAACCTTATAACAGTAGAAGCTTTTTTTTTTTTTCCTATCTAGAAAGAGAGTTTTATTCATTTGGGAAATTCTTTGATGTGATCAAAAAAGAACAAAGCATTTTGAAGCTGGAACTTTTCATTTTCCGGTTAGCTAAGAAGTTTTAAAGGGAATTCTTCTAACTCTTCTTCTGATCCCCTTCCCAGAAGTGGTGCAGTTATTCTGGAAAATCTCAAGCATGCATATAACATTTCTAATACATGTTCTGCCACTTACATAATTTCTCTCTTCCTCAGGACTCTGTGTGAGAAAGATGCTCCTTATATGCATCAGTTCCAACCCAATTCCAGGGGCCAACTTTGAATCTCCAAAAAAGAATATGTAGTCTTAAAAAAAAATCAACTTAGATAAACCATACTAGAAAACAGGATAATTTCTCTGTTGGATTTGGCACATACACTATCCCTGTTTCAAATAAACAAATTGCAGGAAATCACCAATTCACTATTTTTCTGTTACTGAAAGTTTGTAGATTGCTCACTTGAAACAAGTTTTGCTTCAGAAATAATGATATCAATGATTATTAGATTCTCATATTAGATCTGTCAAAAGGTTATTAACCCAGTACCTAGTTGAAATACTAAATATTTTCCATGAAATGTGTAAAGAACAGTACAGTTAGTATAGTAATCAGAAGAGAGCAGTGGCATTAAATTTGTTTTCATTTCCAAATCTTGCTATTTGAGGGAAAGAAGGTTAAATTAGGGGATAATGAGGAGATAGAAAATTTGAAGGGGATTTTTAGGTATATTTTCAGAATATTTCAGTATGTGTTAGAGACTTATGAGATTTTTCAATTATATTCAGTTTTACTTCCATACTTGTGGTTTGCTTTTTATTCATTCAATCTTATCATATCTACTACTGTTAAACTGTGATTACTTTCATTATGTAAACTCACAAAAGGAAGGAAGAAGGGTAGAGAGAATTGACTGAGATAACTATAAACCTGTAAAAGAGTTGGAAGGGACAAGAAATTTAAGGAATTATAATGAATATGGGCTCATGTCTGAAAAAGTCCCTGAGGAGAAATTAACTAAACAAGGAGAGGTCACAGATACAGGGAACTGGGGAGCATGGTAACGGCAAGATCCCCTTGAGCAGGTAGTGGGTTGTGGGTTAGACAATGGAATCTAACTGGTTTATCTGCTGACTGCAAACTATTTCGATGGACACGGGATTGCTTGCCCCCGAGTGGGAGAGCTACTGGGGAAGGAGAGGGCTGTATCTCCATTCTTGGAAGCTGTATGCCACTTAACTACATCTACAGAATGTTAGAAAGATATTTGGTAGCTCTACTTAAATACATTATATCATGGTCATTGCCTTGTTAAAAAACTTCTATACCTTATCATTTCTCTTAAAATTCATTGCATACAGGAACACACACACTGGCCTGATGTGCCTCTTCAAGCTCATCTAGAGTGGCAACCTTACTGCCTGTCTCCAGTTGTTTAGAACACATACCTTCCTGCCTCAGAGCTTTTGATTTCCTAGGCCACTCCTTTACCAACTCAGGGAGAAATGGGTTCTTTTGTGGTCCCAGAAACACTGTCACCTCCTCGGGAGGCCTTTCGCATCATCTTTGGCATCCCAAGCTTCCAAACAGAGTCCATCTCAGTCCTCTCTGTCTCTCAGAGCTGTATTTATGATTCGTGGTTTTTCAGTGGTGTTTGGGCTGCATCTTTCACTTAGAGGTAAGTTCCATGGGGGTAGAAATCTGACTATCATATTCACTTCTGTGTCCTTCACTTTTGAATCACAGTGGACACTTAGCATATCCATTTAGTGAGTGAGTGAACAAAGCCAGAAATAAACAACTTCAATGACTTCATAGTCTACATTGTAAGGTATTATTTGGGGCATTATGGTGTATAGAAGATAAACAAGTGCTCAAATCTATAGGCTCACTGGGAAAACAAGATCTATAAACATGAAGTAATTGAGAAAAAGATAATGTATTATGGAATGCTAAATTGTGAGATACAAACACATTTTGAGAAGGAAAATAAAAGAAATAGTCTATTTGAAAATATGTCCTTGAGCTTGAAATATTTTGTGATTAGCAAGGAAATGATTTCATAATAGAGACAAATTATAACACAGCTATCTCAAGAAATTCCCAGGGGCAGTGTTATTAATATCCTATACTTACTTTTTTCTTTTATCTCCCCCTTCTGCTTTCCTTGTATTTCTGCCTTGCCTGTCCTTACTTCTCTCATTTTTTCACCCCACCTTTCTCTTCCTGAGCTTTCTTTCCTTTTCTTTGGTTTATGACCAATCTGAAAAGAGTGGCTTCTAAAGTTAGAGAGTTTGACTTAGAATTTGGGAAAGAATTTTTAAATAAATAGATGAATGTAAATGAGTGTGACATTGCAAAATGTATTTGTGTGTGCAGTAGCAATGTGATGGCATGTGAGATTTTTCAGATGCCAGATTATTCCTCATTGGGGAATCTTTTAACCATAGAGGCTCAGTATGTTCACTGAATTTGTGCAGTTTGGAATTTTTGATAGAAACAGCCTGGTTCCAGAAATAAGACTTAGATTTGAGTCTAAGTATTGTGACTTTTTGGCTGTATGCCTGAGAAGATTGCTTTATCTTTCTGGGAGACTCAGAGAGGTGATATACAAATGGACACCTAGGAGTCTAGCAGAGGAAAGCCAGTTTCCCTTTGCAGAAGTCAGTCAGCCTGAACCTGTGTTATCCGTGTGTCCAGTGACCACAGGGCATTCAGAAGCCTGACATTCTGATACTGGTTCTGTGACTGTCTTATGATGATGCCTCTCAGACTCATTCTTACCACATAGCTAAGTAAATGGGTGAATATTCTTGCTCCTGCCTTAATGGTTCCAAGCCCAAAATTAGAGCTGAGAGTTCAGCTGCAACTCTAGGCTGGAACATTTACATGCAAGAGAAACAGCCCCGTGGTAAGGGCAACTTAAGAATCAGAATCACACATCAATTCAAAATGTTTTGGCTATATACCAAAGACCTTTGTTTTTATTTTTTGTTCATATCAACTTTTGTGTTATGTGTCAAGACTAGTATTTTAGGATTTCTTAAAAGGCCATGTAAAGTGACTCATGTTGCATGTCTTTAACAAACAAAACAGTATAACGAGGGGGATACCATGCTTACTTAGTACATTGTCATAAGATTATGTGATATGTGCACATGCTTCAGATTTTCCAAAATGCTTCCTTCATCAACAGGTATAGAGGGAGCCTCTTCCCTAGTCTCAGGTGCTGTTCTAGGCACCCTGATTCTGATAGCAAAAAAAAAAAAAGGCTGCGATAGGGTCCGTCCTCAGAATCTTAGAGTCCAGTGCATGTTACTACATAGTTGTGTATGTTTTTATTCTCACAACATCTCTGTGTGGTGGAAAGAATGGGTATTACTATCCTTATTTCAAACAGGAGAAAATGAGGACCCAGTGAGGTTAAGTGACTTGTTCAAGGTGACCACCTTTCCAAATGGCAGAACCAGCAGAAAAGAAAAAGTGGCATTTGCCCCACACTTTTTCAGATGTTTTCATATTTATTATTTCTTTTGATCTTCACAATGACTCTGTGTCACATGCTTTTTATTTGTATAATGGTGTAGGTGGGGAATCCTGCTCGTATCTGAAATTGTTTAGCCTAGGTCTCCAGCTGACAAGCAAATGGCAGATTGACTAGATTTGGCATGGTATTTCAAAAGACTAGTTTATTTTATTATCAGGCCATGATCCTCTGGACCAGCCATCAGCCCGAGGGAGGCCACTGAACCCAGAGGAGGTTTATCCCCATGGGCCCCTCTCACTGACACTCACTGCTCTCCTAGAGCTGTGATGAGAAGGCACATGTGATTTCACTAGGCCAGAGGACTCTATAAACTTTCACAGTTTACAGTCTACAAAACATTTTATTCAAAAGCCTGGCTCCCACTATGAACAAAAGCCCTTTCCCCCTAAGGACAGCTTGCTGTTCACTGATATTCTGTGAAAGCTTTGACCATTATCATGAAACAAGATGGTATGTGTCATCACTGACATTAACCAATCTAGTCTAAATTCATTTCAGAGTAGAGGAAGCCAAGGCCAAGTGAAATGACTTACCCAGGGATTTTTATTCTCTCTGGAAGAGGACAGGCCAAAGTTTATTTTAGTAATGATTCCCAAAATCTGAATAGACAAAGACTTGGATCCCATGGTATCTTTCACATTCAAAGGTGCTGAGGTGACTGGGGTGGCTGCCCAAAGACATACGAACGAACGTGTCCCCAGGGTCTTCGCTCTACTGTGCACACACACAATGGGGCCATTTATAGCTCTCGCCTGTGCTGCCATGTCTCATGAGTCTGCTGTCAGTGAGTCAGTGCTTGGTGGAGGGAAGGACCAGGGCTTGCAGGAGCTGTGTCTCCTGACTAGCTGGGTGACCTTGAGTGAATCCTGGAACTGCTTTGGCCTCAGCATCCCCGTTTGTAAGGTAGGAATAATGCTGACTCCCTGCCTTGCAGAGTTATTGTGAAGATCAAAAGAGATAATAAATATGAAAACATCTGAAAAAGTGTGGAGTAAATGCCAGTTATTTTCTCAGATGGTTCTCGCAGTATTACATATGGGTTTCTTAGCATTCAGTGGATAGGAATTACAGCTTGCTATTCTGCTTGTCAGGTAGATTATTCCTTTACCTCTTCTTCAGATAGGCCTCACAGAGTCCCCTCTTCTTGTCACTATACTGTTAATTACTAGCATATTCTACCATCCTCTCTTCTTAGTGTCCATGTACCACACTATCTCTTTCTTGACCACAGAAGCCATCACTAATTGATCACATACATCTTTCTCTCTGGATTCTGTATCTTCCTCAACATTGTATTCCAGGCCACCTCTGCCATTTGATTGGAGTTGGCACATAGATATCTTTGTTTTCTCTACCATGGGCAGTTTCCCAAACTTGACATACAGTGAATAAAACTGAATGCAGGTGGTCTAACTGTGCACCCAGCCTTTGCAAATGCACTCAGTGAATCACTGAAAAATGACATGTGATAAATTGCTCATGGCACTAGTTATGACAGCAATGGTAGGAAATGGTCTGTAAACCCTGTAGCAGGTAGGACCCTACTCCTGTGCTATCAACTTTAACTATCAAGTTTCTCTTAGCATCCTTGTACCCCCAGTTCAGAGTACTGAGACTACCAAGTAGCCAAGCCATAGTGTTTGGATTCATTCCTGATTCCTCCTTCCTGCCTCATATCAATAGGTCCTCTAGAGCTGTGTATTATCCTTCTTAAATAGCTCTTGATTCTGCTCTCTCTTGCATCCCCCATTACCACACCTGATCCGACCTTGCTGCTTCCATCCATCCACCTCACAACCACCAAAGAGATCCATTTCCTCACCTGCCTTTGATTGTCCCTTCCCCATGCTTCCTAGATGAAGTGTAAATGCCTCCATGGGCTGTGGGACGCTTTCACACGCAGCTGCCTTATACTCACACCCTCACTGCCCCAGCCAGACAGGAACTCCTTGCCCTTCTCCTTCCCTTGCATATGCTGTTCCTCCCCTTGTCTGTAAGGTAACACTATGTTCTGATCATTCAAGGTCCAGCAGAAGGGCCTGTCTTCAACGAAGCCTTCCCACAGTCCCCAGGCTGAGGATGAGGAGCTCCCCATGCTCACTTAGCTCTCAGTTTTCACCCTCCAAGGCCACATCACAGAAGGTTTAAAAGCACTGGCTTTCGTGTCACACTGACCTGGGTCAAAACCCCATGTGTGCGACCTTGGGAAGCTAGTGAACCTGTTTCCTACTCTGGAGAAATGGGAGTGGTAGTATCTTTCTCATGTAGCTTACAAATCATTTAAGGTTGTAAGGATTAAATCAGGAAATTCTCCAGAGATGCAGAACCCGTAGGTGGAGAGAGACAGAGAGATTTTTAAGGAATCGGTTCATGGACTGGCATGGGGAGTCCAAAATCCACAGGGCAGACTGGCAGGCTGGAAATTTAGGGAGTGGTTGATGTTGCAGTCTTGAGGCAAACTGTTGGGCTCTGAATAAATCTTAGCTGCTATTTTGTGTTCTTATACCTTTTTTGGTTTCTCCCTGAAAAAAACCAAGGACTCTGCCAGAGCAGGGACCATGTCTGATTCATTTTTGTATTCCCAGTGTGTGGCATGTTAAGTGCTCAGTAACTATCCAGTGAGTGAATGAGTCCTGCTGAGGGATCACAGACTTCTGCGGTGATATTCAAGCCACTCAGTGTATGGTTACCGTGAGAATTAAGTGAGTTAACATATACAAAACACTTAGAAGAGTATTTGAACCATAGGCAAGGCGTATTGAATGTTATTCTGCTGGGCACATCAAAGGCTGCAGTATGTTTCCTGGATGCCAGGCAGCACCCGGGATTGCACCCCCTCTGTTCCCCCCAAGGACCCATCTGCTGCGTAGGATCACACTGGTTGAGAGCCACCATCTGGTTCCAGGAGCATGCAGTTAATCCAGTACCTCACACATTCTGCTGGACTCCTTTAATTGTTCTCCCTGCATTTTAAGAAAGATCAGATTTCATTGTAGAAAACTTGGAAAATAGGAAGGTACAAAGAAGAAATTGCAATCTCCAGTAATCTCATGATTATGAAATAACAAACCACTGCTACAGTTTGCTGAGTGAAGGACATGGGCTTTGGGGACAGTATGAAGCTCTTTAAGCCTCAGCAATATCAGCAGTGAAGTGGGTGAAATGACATCTTCCACATAAGATTGTGGAAAAAATAAATGATTTTCGGACTTCACTTATCACTTATATTAAGTGCTAAGTGAACGCTTGCTCTTAATAGCTTTATAGTCAAAAGATTTATTTATGTTAACCCAATATTTTAAATTAAGGAATCATTGATACACAATCTTATGAAAGTTTCACATGAGCAACATTGTGGTTATTACACTTGCCCTTCTTATCAAGTCCCCCCACACACCTCATTACAGTCTGTCCATCACGTAGTAAGATGTTATAGAGACACTACTTGAAAGAACCCAATTTTGTGAATGCTTGCTCTTAATAGCTTTATAGTCAAAAGATTTATTTATGTCAAAGAATTCAATTTTATCAGTACATATATATGCACATAGGATAGTGGTTACAATCGAATGCAAAGTGAAAAAGTGGGTGTATTGTAACCACAATCCTAGGCAGTGTGTATGTTGTTTTAAGAGCATAGGATCTGGGATGAACTTGCCAGATGCAAATCCTGACCCTTCTACACTTGCCAGATGTGTGAGTTCAGGCAAGTTAACCCCTCTGTGCTTAGTTACTTCTTTTTCTGTAAGAGATAATCTCTATCTGAAAAGGTTATTATAAGGATAGAGTGACTTTAATACATTAGACAGTTATTACTTTACTCTAAAATATAATTATATATACATGTGTGTGTGTGATGTATAATATACACAAAGAACAGCATTTGGTTCAGGGTTAATGCTCAGTTAAGAAGTATTAGCTATCATTATCATCTCCTGAAATCTTCTCTAAAGCATTGCTTTTACTTGCTGTATCATATCCCATTGCATCATAATTTATTTTACTATTCCCCTGTTATCAGACATTTAGACTGTTAGCGGGAGCTTGATTTGTGTATTGAGCTAGAATGGCTCATATTAATGAGTCACATGGTATGGTGCGAATTCTTAGTTCTCATTTACTCAGACAGCTGGGTGGGGTGGTGAGAGTTCCGTATTGAGGGCTTGTCCTGGCACTGCTCCCGCCAGCTGAGTGGCTGTGGACACACCATTTAACGTTGGGAAGAGAAAGCAGAGTAGCAGAAAGAGAAATTGATTTTAATTTAAAAATCTCCAACATCTCCTGGCAACAATCCTCTTTAGCTATGAGGATAAGGCCAAGAATTTGCTAGGTGGGTAGGGATTGGTTTATGTGATGCCCTCCTTGAAGCCCTGGCTGTGTATCTTGGGCAAGTCACCATCTCTTTATTTTCCCATCTGGAGAATGTTGCATGAGAGGAGCTTTCCCACCTTTCTCACGTGTTTGTAAATATCAAAGTGCAAGATATATATGAAAGTATTTTGAAAGCTGTACATCTTTATATGAATCTAACATAGTATTAGCACATTTATTATATTTAGTACCTTGGAAGCTGTTTTCAATTGAAGGGTTAGGTTAGGTAGTTTTGAAGATGCTAACTAGCTTTAAAATTCTGTGCTCTTGTACTAGGGTTTCAGGGTGTATCCCTTCTAGAGTTCATTAACCCTTCTCCCCATACCTTCCACCTTTCATGCATTTAAATGGTTTTCTCCATGTCTGGATACCAGGAGAAAACACCTTTCCTAATTTCATGAATTGTTTTTTTTGAAAGGGGAATGCTATATATAATTTTGTTAAACTGGATAAAAATATTGTTTCTAATAATGAATATATAGTGGGAGAACTTAAAATAAATTTTAATGTATGTTCAACTGGAATCTACCTTGGCCTACTTAAAAGACCAAATATAGTTCTATATATAATTTCAGCAAGGTGTAAGCCACTCAATCTAATTGCCAGATCAAATGATTTAATCTGGACTTCCTCTCTTGAGTGTTCTGCTATCTTCTATCTTGTGGAAACCTACTTCAAGGTGTACATTGAAGAACTGAGTTCATTGCTGTCTTGATAAATTTTGACTAAGATACAGAGGAAGTGTTTTAGTGGCTGTGGAATGCTATGAACTAGCCATGGTTCGGGATGTGAGGTGCAAATGAGCAAAACACATGGAGTCCTTGTGTTTGTGGAGCTTGCATTTACTGTGAGGAGACAAGACTAACAGACCAAATGAACAAACGAGATGATTTCAGATGGTGGTGAAATCAATGAAACAAAAGAGAATCATGTAGAGGAGAATGGGGAGTGAAGGAAGGCACTGATGCTGAGACCTCTTCTCACAGTGACCTGTAAAGTCTGGGGACAGAGTACTCAGGAGTGAGAGGTGCAGGGGGAGAGGGCCTGGAACTCGGTAAGCTCAAGGAACAGAAGGAAAGCCAGTGTGGCTGGAGACCAGCGGAAGAGTGGGAAGGATCCAGGAAAGAAGGGAGGCAAGATTCAGGGCAGGCAGAGCCTTGTGATCAATGAAGATGGATCTGGAATTTACTCAGAGGTAATGGAAAGGCACTGAAGGGGTTTAGGGAGAAAGAAGGTCATGCTTCCATTTGCATCTTAAAATGGTTACTTTGGATATTTGGTTGGACTTGAGTAGGTACAGGTGGTATTCTGTTGTTTTTTGAGAGGAAAGTATTTTGAATTTGTGTTTGAGTGGTAAGCACTCTGATTTTATTTAAATTTCATGTTTATTTTCAGGAAAAGAAGAGGGATTGGAAGGTATTGCGGTACCCTTCCTCAAACCCGCTTGGATCCTTTACTGCTGAGTTCTAAAGGCTCAAAGTGAAGGTTTAATTCAGTTACTAAATAATCTCTTTTTCTCACCCAAATGGTTCTGGTATTAAAATTTTTTCCAAGGCATGTTGACAGGTAAAAAAAAAAGTGAAGATATTAGAGATCCAAGATATCATGCTTTTCTTCATGTACTTCTTTTTAAATGGCTTTGAAGCACTTCAATTCTTTGATAGTCATTGTGATATTGAATTGAATAGTTTATTAGACTGGTTTTCATTACTGAGGAGCTTTCTCTCTAGGCCAGATCAGAAAGACAGAAGTATTTAAGACAACTTCCTGTTGACAAAGGATGACCTCCCCATATGCCATTTTTCTCTGCAATGTTTCCATTAAATATTCTTTGTCTTCCCGGAATTTCATTGGTGGAGATCCCTATTGTCTCCCTTAACTAGATCGCCTGTGCATGCCTCCAGCACCTCTCTTCCTACCTGCAGGTGCTGGAACTGTCTATGCTCTAAAATGTATTCGTAACCCAGGGGAAAATACTATGAGGCTTCCTCCAGGTGGGGCTTGTTCCTGCTCCAGTCTTCTGTATATTAAGGACTCTGGTTTTCTTTTCTAACTCCTTGTCTGATGTAGCTGGTGAGTGCACAGACTCGAAAGTCAAAACAGATCTGGGTTCAAATTCTGCCTCTGCAGCTTACTTGGCTGCATACCTTTAGGCAAGCCTGAGCTTCAGGTTTATTTCACATTTCCTCTCCCCCTTCCTTCCTTCCTTTCCTTTTTAATCTAACAAAAATTCACAAAATTGTCAGCAAGTATTTATGGAGGCTCCAACCAAATGCTAGGTGTATATGGTGAGCAAACTTCATGGACACAGGCTTTGTGGAGTTTACAGAATAGTCGCAAAGATGTTAAATTAATACAGACAACTAAATGATTGTAAGTGAGCAAAGCACTGAAAGGGATTCTCAAAGTATGGGACCTATCCTGGTAAGGTGGAGATGAATCAAAGTTGTTGCGAGCATACATGACACTGTGCTTTTAATATATTTCCTGTGACCTTTGTGTCCAGCTGATCATAGCTGGTCATTATTATTATCATTGCTGTTCTCATTGTTAATATTACCTACACCCCATGCCAGTATATATCCTTGACATGGTGAGTTTTCCCAGAACTTGCTGCATGGTGCTCCGGAAATACCTACTGATTTCTGCTCTTGCTTACTTGCCTGGAGCCGCTGGGCATGTGCCCCCCTACTCCTGCCAGCTTTCCCAGTTTCTGACCTACTATCTAAACAGCTCATGGAGCTAGCTGTTCATGTTTTGGGTTCCATCCATGCCTGACTCTGCCAGATTCCTTAGAAGACTCCTGGTCTTATTGCTCTCTCTCCGGAATGAGTGTCCACCAAATCCCAATATGACATCTGTCTTGTTGCTCTGCTATTCCAGAAGGAAGAAGGAAAGTTTCAGAAATTGTCTAAAACAACAAGAGAGTGCCTCCCTCTGTGCTTAAGCCCTTTTGAAGAGCTCTCTGCTACACCCATTCTATACTATTAGTACCTATTCCAGTTGAATTATGAGCCTGAGGGTTATGTCTTGCCATTGTTTTCTAGGTCTTTCCTATTCATCACTGACCTAGAGACTAGGCCGTAAATCTAATCCTCAGACTTATCTATGTCTGCATACCAAAGTCTGTGAAAATATTTTTTTAAATTGTTGACATTATCAGTGCATATGCAATACATGCATCTATGCATGGTGAACTCTTGATTTTCCTAGCTGATTGGTGAGAGGAATAGCGCTTTATGGCCACTGGCTCTGAATCACCTCTTCTACTGAGTTGCTTATACGGACTTTAGTTCTTACTTTTCTTCCTACTCTCTGACTAGACCTTACTAAAGATAGCAACCCTGTAACTTACCAAAAGACAGCTGCCCTGGAAGAACCCTAGATCTCTGGATATTGCATAATAAGAAATACTAAGAGTAACGTTATCCCTGAAATGTGCCATAATTTCTCTTAACAAGTAGGTGCAGCTATAAACACTGCCTCTCCCCAAGGGGAGGAAATGTTCAAATAGAGTTCAGATTTTTTAATGTAAAAATAGCTACTATTTCTTGAGCCCCTGCTATGTGCCAGAAACCATTCTTAAATATTCTAGAAGTATTTATCTTATTTAATCTTCACCATTCTATGAGGTCGATACAATGATAAGTTATCCCCACTACATAGATGAGAAAACTGAGGACCAGAGAGTTTATGACTTGTAGGACTTGAAACACTGATCTGACTCCCAAATTTACACTGTAAACCATTAACTAATATTGGCTCTCAATTTTTATCTTTGAGGAATTATGCTTCCTTATTTTCCCACATAAGCGCAGCAGAGGGACATTACCTATGCCACAACAGTTGGTAGTTAACACAAGTAATATTATTACAATGTGCTTACCTATTTCTTCTCACCAGTTGAAAATTAAATTTGAGGAGGTGCTTGTCCAGTTCTGTTAAAAATTTGAAATATCTGTAACACGTTATATAAAAATGGTGGCATATAAAAAAAAGTAGATAATTATAGAAATAACAAAACTATTATCCAGGAGGTCTTTGTTCTAACTGTTTTTAATCATATTCATTTGCAGTTCCTCACATGTGACTTGACAGGTTCCTGTGGCAACTGTACGTTCAAGGCAACTACAGTAAACTATGTTGGGTGTTTCAGAGAAATTTTCAATGCCTTCTTCAGTACTTACTGCACTTCTGTGTTAGAATGAGGAATCTATTTCCCCTTTTAGCTTAACAATCTATTGGACACATCTCCTGGTTTTACAAATAATAGAATTTTTATTTTAGAGCATTTCAGAGGCAACTCAACCATCAGTGGACTTTTGTTTAGTATGAGAAATAAAGTCATTCTGACTCTGTGGTTTGGAAAAGGTTATAGTTCCCAATTGCATATTAATAGCTTCATTGTAGTCAAGGCTTAACACTGCTTTCAATCTTAATATTCCTGACAGATGCTCAGTCCTCAATAACTATTATAAAATATGTATTTAGAAATGTGTAAAAATTTGCACATCCTCTCCAAGTTTATTTATAAACCCAAAATAGAGTGTTTATGCTGTTTACTCTGCAGTAAATACAAGCACAGCCTTTAGGTATTGCCTTTTTACTTGCATGCTGGGTTTTTTTTTCTCACCAGTTCTTTAGTCAGAGCAGGAAAAATAACCGAGTATGGTTGAACTCCATATGTAAGGCGCATGTCCTCAATGTGTGCAAAAGCCTAAAACTCTTAGATTCTGAGGGGAAAACTGGCTCACAAAAAGGTGGGCTACAGGCACCTAAGGATGGTAGTAAAGATTGTTGTCATTATTATTACTATGTATAATTTATCAGCAGGCCAAGCTCTGAATGTGGGGCTGTATAAATGGCCTATCACCCATTTCTCACCATAAACCATGAAGATTAATCTTAATCCCATTTGATGAATGAGAAAAATAAGCCTTACGGTCACATGCACAGTTAGAAAGTGGCAGAGCAAGGTGGGACCACTGAGTACCAGTCCTGTGCTCTCTGAACCTCGGTGTTTAAGTGACTGCCTGGCATCACTGCGGCCTGGCTGAGGGAGCTGGATTGGGGAGGCTCTTGCCCATTGCCATATGAGGCCTCTTTACCACCATTCACCACCCCGTATGAGCTCTTGAGTGTGCCTGTTTTTCTGGCTGTGTATTGTAAAGATCTTTACTGACTTCAGCAAACGCGTTCGGCAACACCGTTTCCGGGCTGTGCTGCATCCGTTCCCTCTCTCGGCCCTTCTTCCCTGCGGCGTGTGCTGTTCTGCGCTGTTGCGCTGCTCGCGCCTCTCCGCAGTCCTCTGTGTTCTCTTACCTGGTTTGCATTGCGCTGCTGCTTGCTGGCGCCCCGTGGGCTCTGCCCTTCCTGCTCCCCTCCCTCAGTCAGTGAGGAAGCAGCTGAGCAGCGCTGGTGAAACAAGCAGCCCTGTGAGTTAAGGCACTTGGGTCAAATCCTGACCCCTTCACTTCGTAGCTGTGCAGTCTGGGCTCATTTAATTGTCTTTGCTGTGCCTCTGTTTTCTGTTATCTCAGCTTTAGAATCAATACTAAATACTAATACCTACCTCAGACTTATTGAGAGGAATAAACGACCTAACACATACATACACAGAGCTGAGCTTAGTGCCTGGCACATAATAATTGCTCACCTAATCAATCTTTTTATTTTTATTTTTACATTTGTTTGATGGAAGGTAGTTTATATCAGGAAATCCCATCAGTTGTTTGAGAGAGAAATGACTTCAACCTCTACAAAGAAAACCCTTCCCCTAGGGAGAAAGCAAACAAGCTCTCACTTTTAAGATGCTTCCTATTCCTTCATTTTCAAGTTCCCCTTGGCCACAACAAAGCGAGCTGGCTGACTGCCCCTGGGACCTCAGAGAGCAGTACATCAGCCAAGTTTTGTTTTTCTCTTAACTCTTGCAGTTCCTGTCTCTTCAACTCTCTGCCACCCACACGCAGGCAGGCGGCTGTTGGCAATCGCTCTGCGTTTGGGGTGTGGTTGGCCTGGGTCTTCTAGCCTGAGGGGCTGGGCAGAAATCTGAGGAAATATTGGCTTTCTGTTCACTTGCCCCACAGCTGTCATGCTGTCATGCGTCAGAGCATGTAGGACAACCTCGTGTGCAGGTGGGGAGGGGCAGGGGTAACGAAGAATCCAAAATGGCTTTCTGAGCCCCTGTGCCCAGTACTTTTCATGAAGCATTTCATCTGATACTCACTGTTTCTTCTTGCGTATGGTATTTTTTTCCATCTTTAAAATAAGGTTGTCAACAATGAGGCCAAGAAAAATTCAGTAATTTGACTAAGCACAACCTCTGTGCTCTTATCTACCTCACAGTCCAGCTCCCTTCACTTTGCTGTACACCCTCATTCCTAGACTACCCTCTTCTGGCTTCAGTTTCCTCATCTGTAAAAGGATAGGGCTTGGCACGACGATTTGGAGTTCCTGTCTGGCTCTGATATCTGGTGCTCTGGTTCAGCATACAAGTTTAGGATCACTGCTGTTGGTGGCCACTCTGAGAGTCCACCCCAGTGTGTATGGACTGGCCTCATTTGCTCATTGCTGCTTGGTTTATGCTGCATCTGTCTGGGACTGTCTAAATCACATTCCAGCCCCTGTTACTATGTCTCCCATACCATCTAAACACACTTTGTTCCATTACTGATGAGTAGATGCTCCACAGAATCCAATAGAACTTCAAGAATTCTCTTCTGGGAGTTGCTGAATATATGATACCTCGATCCACAAGTTTATATATACAATTTCAGAAGAAGAGATGCTCTGAAGACTTTAAGCAAGCTTAAAGTCAAGTGCAAAAGACAGGGAGTCCAACAGTCATTGAGCTCTACTGGGTTAAATATATTTTGCTTTGTTTTTCACAGTCTTGTGAGATTCATACTTTCACCTAGGCTCAGACAGAATAAGGTATCATAGCTTGTGCAGAGAATTCCAATTTGTCTTCCTCTTTTTTTTATGATACTCTGATCTTACCCTTGGTGTTTAGTAAAAAGAAGCACTAGATTGGAAATTTCATTCCAGCTTTGCTACTAATTTTTAATGTGCTGTTTTGACTAAGACACTCATCATTGATAAAAATCAACCTATAAAATTGATTATCTTTAAACTGAGTAATCTTAGAGATTCTGTATCTTGAGCAGTGTTATTGTTTTAATCAACTCAACTGGTTAGGGGAATGTGGAATCACCTTTTATGATTCTTCTCTATCTCACAGGCTGAATCACCAAATACCATCACTTCTGTCTTCAAAATGCCTCTCTGTATTTTTCTTTCATATTTCTGTCACCCAATACTATAAACCTAGACCTTATTTCACTACCAAAATCCTGAAATATATTGAAAGCTGTCCATACTCCCCGGCTTTGTCAAATTTCCCTCCCAGTCCTTCATGTGTGTCATATACATATTTGCTCACATCTCGCTCTTGTTTGAAACCTCCATTATTCCTTCTCTATCAGTTGCAGTATCAGGTTCTCCAGGCTTTCAGAAGCAGAAACTGCCTAAAACAAACTTTTAGTTCTCCTGTGTCCACTTCTTTATCTTATCTCTGAACCTTTGTCAAAGCTGTTTTCTGCAACTCTCTTCATTGAATTCTTCCAAGTCCTTCAAGGTCCAGCCCAAGAACAAAAAGAGCCCTTTCCCTCTTGTTCATCAAAAAGGATGTATCCTGAGCCCAGGCACAATGTCAGGCACATAATGAGTATTTAGTAAATATTTATTGAATTAATGTATCACTCCCTTCCACAAAGGTATCCTTGACTACTTCATCTTACATTCACATCAGGATTCATTAAAGCCCAGTGGTACCAGTTTAGCAGGTCTGTGGTCTTACAGCATCAAGAGTTGCTTTGTTTACATACACTTAAGGAAGAATAAAATCAGTGACATCAAAGAAGAATTTTGAATTGGTTGAATTCTAGCCCTGGCCATTTATTTATAGACCGGGGAGGAGGAAGCTCTTCTTATGTATTAAGCCTTGTTCTGAGTACGGTATCTATACTTTACTCATTGAACCATTACAACAACCATATTGTGAGGTAGGGGGCTGTATTATCCCCATTTAACTGATGTGAAAACTGAGGTCCAGACAGGTTATGAAAGCTAGAACATGGTTAAACCATGGGATTCTGGCTACAGTGTACAAATGTGAGCATTATACCATTCACCTCTCACATCACTGCAAAACACAGGAAAATATAGATTGTATCGTAACACTAAACCCAAGAATGGAAAAACAAACTTGTAAGTCAAACTCTACAGTCAATGGAGCGTAGTATCGTCTTACTAAGAATGGGTAGCCCTGTAGATGCAGCTCATGTTTATTCATAACCCCCAGTAATATTCTCTCCTAGCTATTTATAAGTGGATATGTGCTCTTGTGTTTTGGTGTGAAATGATAACAGCCTTGCCCTGGCTGGAGCTCCTCTTTTCCCTTGAAGGGTCTTTGCTGCCCCTCTGAAATACCCCATGGTAATGACAGGCTGTGCCTTCTTTAAGGAAGCCCTGGTTCCTGGAGTTCCTCTGGCATGCTGTCCTAGGAAGCTCTGCACTGCAAGCCTCTGATCAGCTGAATAAAAATGAAGTGGGTATTTTTATTTCCCCACTGATTGAGTTGGCTCAACCTGATGTAGGTTCAAATTTACAAAAGCATGGACAGGCATGCTTCCAGGCTAGCAATGGAGATGGAGGAAGGCAGGCTGTGTTCTCAGCTTCCTTGCAAAGCATGGCATTGGATATGTGTCACTCAGACCCTTTAAACCAAGGCTGCAGATCTCCCCCACCCCCACCCACAAGTCACGGGATGATTTGTGCAAGATGTCCTACTTCTGATGCCAACTGGACCCTGTTCAAATGAGTGTGCAAATCAGAGAGTTTTTTTTAAAGGGTGAGCACATCCATCACGGAGAAAATGATCTGTAACCAAGATGTCTAACTGTCCCCCAATTGGTTTTTCAGGCTAAATAGTCTTGTAACTTTTTCCTTAGAAAAGCCTAATCTTGATCATGTGAACTCCAGTTATTTAAGATCTGTCAACCAGCTACATTATGTTTCTGAGTCCATGCTTGACAAGCAGTTACAGTAATATCTTGGTATTTATAAGTTTAAAATTCAGGTTTCTGGTTTTCATACAATGCATTTTAGGTTCACAAAAAGGAGTAGTTTGTAAGGTGTGAATATGAATCACCCACTTAGAGATGCAGGGGTTTAGGTGGGGGTCAATTAGCTGTGTGTCCAACATCCACATCTTAGTATATCTATTATTCTCTGGGGGCAATAATTATAACTTAGGGATTCTAGTCTAAATGTCAAGAGTAATTCTATGTCCAAATCAGTGAAATACCTTTAGATTTTTGTACAAATGGTTGTGGGATAAGGCTTTTGAAATTTTCCCACTCCAAACACATGGCCAACATTGCTAGCCAATCAGCTGCCCTGGCCAAGTGTACTCCACATCAGTATTTTCTACAGAAGGTTAATTGGATTTGGTGTTTGAAAATGTGAAAATTGCTCACTATTACTTGGATTTGGAAGGTCTAAAATAAGCTGCTTCTTTTTTTCCCTTTTTAATTTGAGCCTGACACTGAATACAGATTGTTTCTCTATTCTCTCCTACGCACGTTTGAGTCTTTCAGATCTTGCCAAGCATTATCCACGCACATCAGGAAAATGGGTCACTTCATTTGATCTGCCCACCTCTGGCAGTGGGGTTGGGATAGGTGTTTTAAGAGGCTGTAGTAAAGAAAACAAACTGTAGGGGCCATAGTTCATGCATGGGGAAAATAGGTAGGTATATGTTAGACAAACTTTCCAAGTAGGCAAAACAATATGCTTCATCCCTCAACATGTGGGACCCTATAGCAGCCTGCTACTTGTCTTCATTTAAAAAATTTGCCACACTTAGAAATTTTTTTAGGAGGGGAACCATATTAATCTATGGAAGACACTTAGATTTTGTGGATTTGTGATTCAATTTCAAATAGTTAATACTTTTTAGGTTCTTATGTTATAACAATCTGCTGCCTCAGATTATAGACCTATTTTCATATTACTTTGCCCATTGGAGTATGAGCCCATAAGAATAAGGGGTGTCTTTTTTTTTTTTAATTTGTGTCTAGGAAACTAGCAATGGCTTTGGCTTTGCATGGGAATGAAGAAATGATATTTTAATATGGATGTTTTTTTCACAGTGTCTTATTCACCTTGAACCAATCACAGAACTATTCCAAAGACAAATTCTCTCCATTGCAAACATTTTCTTGAAAGCAGAGACAATAATATTCATTTCTGTCCTGCTTATTGTATCCTGAGAGCAGAGCTGGCTTTATGAGGTTGCAGCCTATGCAGTTGCATAAGGCCTAGAAGGGCCCTGTACTTGCTGTAGTGCTCTGCTGTTCCCTTCTTAAAACCTTCAATAATTTTTGAATAAGGGATCCTGCACTTTTATTTTATACCAAACCCCATAAATGAGGCACCAGGTCCTGCCTGAGTGCCAAATATACACAGTGTGCTAGACTGGCAGCTGTGAATTAGCCTGTCCTTCAAGTTTGACTTTTCTTGCCCCAAGTTGAATTCACAAGTATTGGCTGTGTTTGTGATGTGTGGTTCCATTTGTTTAATAAAAAGCCTCCTCATCAGGCATCATATCAGGGAGAGACATCCCTTGGCACCCTTGACTTCAGAGGCATAGTCCTACATACCATGCAAGTTTTGTGATTTGAAGGAGGGGTCCTTGATAAGGACTAGCATGCATGAATGACTTCCAGACCCTTCCTTTCAGCTGGTGACAAGAGAAAGGAGAGGGAAGCTGAGCCTTGAAATCTCATCAGGAGATCCCCAGAAACCATATTGCTGGGCCTCTTTGTCCTGCTTCTCTTTCAATACTCAAGTGTCCTAGGACACTGCTTCTTCAACTTTAATGTCTGTAGGAAACACCTACCAACCTTGTTAAAGTGCATGTTCTAATGCAGTAGGTTAGTGGTGGGGCTGGAAATTCTGCATTTCCAGTAAGCCCATAGATGACTTTGGGTAGCAAGCTGACAGGTTTGCCACGTTTTAGGTATTGAGCAGATTCTGAATTTCTATTTCATCTTGTCTTATGGTGGAGTTACCATCTTTCCCTAAAAATAGTCTGGCTTCCTCTATCTTCCTAACACACATACTAGCCCAAGCCTGCATAAGTGCATGCATTCATGCTTAAATGTTCAAATAAGTCAAACATTTTTACCCAGACTGCCTTAAGCAATGAGGAGATTTATTATCTCACACAACTGAAAGAACAGAAGGAGTCAAAATAGGCTCCAGGAGCAGTAAGTAGAGTACATGACTCCAAAGTGTCATCAAAGATTCAGGTTTCTTCCCTCTTTCTGCCATCCTCAGCATTGCACAATGGCCATGATGCTTACAAGCATTACTTTTAGATACAAGGTCCAGAGGTAGAAAGAAGCCATCCCTGGGGTGTCTCTGTTTAGAACCCGTATATATTTCCCAGAAGCCCCAAACAAACATCTCACATTTCATGTCACAGGTCTGCCTCTGAACCAATTGATTTAGCCAGGAAATGAGGTGATGATGATGGTCTTAGCTTAGTCAGGATAATCAGGGTCCACTTGCTGGAGCCAGGGAGGAGGGGGTTAGCATTCCTTGAAACACACGAATATGTGAAGGAGTAAATATCTGAAAAAAGCCCAGGTTTTGTTGGAAAGAGGCAATGTATTGTGACTGGGGAGAGAGAGAATAGGTACTGAGTTGGCAACTGAACCCGGTGTCCTCTCACACATGCTCTGCAATAAAAGGCCATCATTTCAAGAAGGGCAATGGACCATCTGCAGCAGGAGCTTGAGCCCCAAACCCTCTCTTTTCTTCCACTGGAGTAGCTGTCCCTGAAGCTAACCTGTAAAATGTTTGGTTTGATTTTAGGAAAATAATTTTAATTGTAGTTTTGTACTGGGTAGCTGATGATCAATGCTTAATTACAGTGCAGGACAGAATAGTTGTGTGACTGAAATAAGGACCAGATGATTCTATTGTTGGCTTTACCTGATTGAAATGCTAAATGTTTTTCAGGCCCATCCTCGTAGCTCCTGAGTTCTGTTTGTAAGGTCATCCTTGTAGTTCATACGCAAAACAAGTAAGGATGCTGAAGTTCAACACTTTCTTGCTCCACTTGTTGAAACCTCACAACTTTCACTGGCACTGTGTAACATGGTTCCTCTGTTTAGGCACTAGATGGATTTTACAGTAAGCATTAAATTACAACCAGACTTCTTGATAACATTCCTGGAAGGCCTAGTGAACTGCCAAGAACTACTTTTAAAAGTATGTTAAAAGGATTTGTTCCTTGATACAGATTCCTACAGTTAAAATATGCATTGAATGAAGAACCTTCTGTCCTCATTTGTTTATGAATGCTACAAAAAAAAAAAGAAAAGAAAAGAAAAAGAAGGCAGGTTAATATGGTAGGTAAAAAACAGACACTGAAGCCCAATTGCCTGTGTTTAAATCTTAGTTATGCTCTAACTAGCTGTGTGACCTTAGGCAAGTTACTTACCCTCTTTATGCTTCTGTCTCCTCATCTGTGAAATGAGGATAAGAACAGCACCAACCTCTCTGGGCTATGGTGAATATTAAATGTGCATTAGTAGAAGAGTACTTAGCACCAAGTAAGTCTTCCATAAGTAGTAATACAATTACATGTTTTTACATGCCTTCTAGAAGGCAGGCCTTGTTTATATACTTTGGCTCTAATCCTCAAAATAATCCTGAAAGGTTATATAGTATTGAAAATACCAATAGCTAATAAGAGCTAACACTAACTGAAGACCTGCTATCTACCAGACATTCTTTAGGGTACGAAGCAGGCATCACAATAACCCATAGATTATGACTTTCCCATTTTCCAGATGAGGAAACTGAAGCACAGACAGATTGATTAGAAAAAATGCTTTGGTACTTTTTAGGTGGGGGAAAGTAGCCCCAGGGCTTGGTGAAGGAGAATCACTGGGAAAGAGGAACAGCTAAATTGCTCTACAAAATCAAGCTGGGAAAATGTGAAGTATCCAGGAATTTCACTGTGAGACTGGACTTGGAAAGAAGGGAGCAAGTGAAACTGCAACCGAGTGAGGGGTAGAGGGAGATGAGGATGTTGGGCCAGTGAAAGGTTCTGTGGGACAGTAATTGATGCCTGGGTCCTTGTTTGTGGAGCCAAAGAAGAAACTTTGCAAACACTTAAGGTAGAAAAGCACGTGAGAGGCTTTTATTTAGAAAGAAAGCCAGAGGACAGAGCTACTGGATTACACCAGGAGGGGACAAGAGAGCCCCAGGGGTGGTGCATTGTTGAATAAGGGGTTTTATAGGCAGTTGAGAGAAAGAGCTAGGGATGCATGCCTAAGTGGTCCCAAAATGTTTATCTTTGAAGAGACATTAAATTTCTTAATAGTATTCCTGGTTATTTACAAGAAATTTACTGCTCTGATTTCCTCCCAGGATAGCAGCTTCCTGGTTTTGGGAGCATATCACTTAAGACTGCCTGCTTTGCTCTCAAGGTGAGCTGAGTTATTGTCTGTTTGTTAAAGAGTATGTTAAGAAACTTACTTTTTAACTAATTGGATTTAAAATGCAATCTTATTTTTAAGATGGAATCCTTACTGTTTTTACTACTTTGTTTTGGGCTTGCTTGTTAAATTGCCCAGGTTGCAAATCACTTGATTAGGGCTGGAAGACAAAAAGCAGCATCTGGGTAAAGTCAGAAAAATAAACTGGGCCTGCAGCAGGCCAAAGCAAATCTCACAGTGGATTATCTTGCTTTGTCTTTTTCCAGAGGCCCTTACCCTAATCTGTCTAAGCCCATGGTCCCTGTCTCATAATGACCTATGATTTTTAAGAACAGAGATATTTAAAATTCAGTTTTAAGTAACTTTCTTTGCTGTACTGAACCTGTTCTTTGTTAATACTATTTGTTGTTTTTGGTAAAGGCTATTGCTCACTACTCTTTATAATGTGACATTTAGAGGATATTGGGGGGAAAAAAGGAGGCATTGTCCTGAAACATTAGCATGAAGTACAGAGAAAAATAAAAATCA